AATTTCCATAACCTCCAGAGCATCCAGCCATCACGGAATAATGAATTTGTTTAATATTAGATACATTGTATCGCACATGCATATCTATGTAGTATAATTATCTAAATTGTTATTACCTTCCTATTATTTACCATCACTGATAGCATGTAATTATATGTACCATCACTGATAGCATGTAATTATATGTACTATCACTGATAACATTAGTTGCTCTTTATAAGGGTGGGTAACTCAGCAAATTTATAGGAGTTGACTCAATGACTCCAACTCACTTTAAGGAGTCAGCTCATTCAACTAACTCATTTGACTCTTTGTATGTTACACTCATTCGTATCGTAGACTCGTTTTGAGGCATAGATGCGGTAAAGCGGCCGTTGAGATAAAACAAAACTTTAAAGTGGGCGTGGTCAGCTCCTTTCTACTGATTTGAAAGGTGTACTTTTTTTTGTGTGCAAATTAATAGGGCGGTGCTAGGGGGAGGGTAAAGGTGGAATTTTCAATATTTTCAAAAGCTTATATTTCGAAACCTATTGTACCGATTTTCAAAATGTGGATATGGTTGGAAAGGCAATTGATTTGATATGCACATCTTTATATATCTTACATACATACATATTTGAGAAAAACTAAAAAAAAAACGAAATTATAAGAATTTGTGAGATTTGACATAACACCCGCAATACAAAATACATGTGGTTGTTGTTGTTGTATTCTTGCCACCACCTTGTATAAATACGCCTCGTGCAAAAACAAAATGCAAGACTTTGCCATGCTAAACACTGGCGAAGCGAGAGCGTTATATGGACAAATATGAGCCACTATGATTCAATTGATTCATGTGAGCCCTACGGCATGAACTGAGTTACTGAGTTAAATTTTTTTTGGACAGGGAGTCTGAGTTACCGATTCACTTATAGGAATCAACTCAATAACTCAACTCTGAGTTGAGTTACCCACCTCTAGCTCTTTATGCTAATTGCTCATACATATGCATCTGCGCATGTCCATATGTTTGTATATACATACTTATGTACATAAGTAAATATTTGCTTGCTTTAAATCTGCGCTCCCGCTAATACGTAATGACACCAATGTTTAAGAACCGGTTTAGGGTATTTGAGTGGCTGTGATAAGCGCTTTTATCATACTTGTACATACATACATTAGCATAACTGCATTATATTGGAATATGTACCACTAAATCATCCGATCTCTTTACCGTAAGCCATTGTACTTGTTGAGCTAGAGGAAATTTTGTAGGCTGGTTAATTTGTACATCTAAGAATTTTGTCACTCGCATTTTGGTCATCGTAGCAAGCGCTAGCATATATGTAGTTGCTAATATTCGCATTTTGTAATAAACGCCCGCATATCGTTGTTGTCGCATTTCTTTTTTATTGCAAGTAATACGGGTCAGTAAAAAGGCTTACTGCCCCCTAAACATTTGGTGACCCTGACGTGATTTAATCAATACTCGTAAAATTGATTGATCAAACGTCGTACTTAATTATTTTTCGTGTGCTTATATATTCAAAAATGGCACCATCTAAGAAGATTGACTCAGCTGAAGCCAAGAAGAAGCTTGAGTCTTTTGCTCAACAAATAACCCAAACCAACAACTCTCTGACTTTCGAAGCCCTGTGCGAGTTCGACGAGACTGCAGTAGAGGTACGTATCGAGCAAATGGATCGCCTGGAGAAAAGGTTCGATGCCCTTCACATGCAGCTAGAGGACAACGACGCTGATGATCTTTTGGCCACATTCACCAACCATTATATTGAGGCGAAAACTAAGCTGACACGCCAACTGCACGCTTGCCGAGCTTCAGTGGCTCCTAGTTCTACGTCGCGGCCGTTTTCTGGAGATCAATCATCGTTCATCGTCGCTCAACCGAAGCAACGGTTACCTGTACTGCAAATACCAAAGTTCAGCGGTAACTATGCAGAATGGCCCGACTTTTTCTCGATGTTCAACACCGTGGTCCATCAAGACGTTGATTTGACAAGAATCGAGAAATTCCAACACCTTCGATTAAATCTACGTGATGCCGCCCTGGATACAATTCGGTCGTTAGAAATAAGTGAACCCAACTATGATAAGGCCATTTGTTTATTGAAGGCTCGGTTCAATAATAAACGTTTGAATTTCCAGGCTCATATCAGAGATATTGTTCAGCTGAAGAGGGTAGAGGGTGAAAAGGTAGCCAAACTTCGTGAACTCAGCGATGCTCTAAATGCTCACTTGCGCGCGTTGCAGACTGTGGGAACAAAGGAGCAGATCGCCGACTGTTTATTAATTCAGCTAGTTTCTCAAAAGTTGGACATCAAGTCTCGTGCCAAATGGGAGGAGCAAACACCTGCAAACGAAATACCAACGTGGGATTCGATGGCTACATTTTTAGAACAACGCTGTCAGCGACTGGAAAATGTAGAAAACGCTCTTGCGACGCCGGAAAAACAGGTAGGAAAGAAACTGTCTTATAACAACAACAATCGCAAGGTTTCGTTAACATCGGCTGCAGTTGGGTGTACATTATGCAGCTCTAGCGAACATCGAATTGCAAATTGTGAACGATTTTTAGGCCTGTCGCCTTTAATGCGTTACAAAGAAGCAAAAAGGTTGCACCTTTGCTTGAATTGCTTGAGACGTGGTCACTCTCTTAAGGACTGTAAGTCCGGCCAGTGTAGGCATTGCTCGTCGAAGCATCACAGTCTGCTTCATCAAGA